ACAATTGTGTCATAGATTTAGTTTACTTAACTATCTAAAGGGTCGAAAAAGTCCCCGATCCCAGTCAAAGTAAGGGAGAGGAAAGAAAGGAAATCGTACAGAGGTCACAATACATATAGTTTTAAGGTTTGTTCATTAAAATTTGTCACTAAACTGGAAGCTATAGAAAAATCACTTATCAAAGTATATCATGGAGCTTAATTATATGATTATAGGCCGAAAGCTGATGTGACCCACCATATTTCCCGCCACAGTATTCAATATAGCATATAGAAAAAAAGAGTACAAAGGCATTTCCGTATTAATATGAGAACATTAAATGAAGCTTAGTTGTCACCATCGATCAATAATAACAAAAATGCTGAACTGCGCATGTGAATTGTGTTAAGGTGGGAATTGAACCCACTACCTTAAAGTTAACGGCTTTATATTCTACCAGTGAATTACTCAACGAAGTATCCACAATGCTAAGCCAGCAACAACCGTGTTTAAACAAACCCAGTCTACATTGGATGGAACACAGTTACGATGACTGTATTGAGAGTTGCATCATGCACGGATGCCGCGGCTATAGACCTTTGTTTTGTTTGTAAAACATTGAGCACCAGGACTTTATAACATTTTTAGCACAATTATGATATAGTATTCAATGCGACCTCGTATCCCTAACCTATGGTGATCTATATCTGCCATCTCGCATCTCGCATACAGGCATGACACATTTCGCATGTCGCATCTCCCCTCTCATAATTATGCCGCAAGTCGTCAATCCCGCATTTAAACTGCGCGTGTGGACGGTGTTAAGGTGGGAATCGAACCCACAACCTTAAAGACTCAAACTTTATATACTCAACGAAACATCCACACTGCTAAGCACCAACAGAGTTATTGAGCAAACCCTTTTTTAACGCGATGACTGCATGTATTGTTGCGTGAATGTGCGCGGATGGCCGCGGCTCTCTGCATAATAGCATCTCGCATACAGTATCTCTCACATGACAGATTTCGCATGTCGCCTCTCTGACTCCTCACCTCTCGCATGTCGTCATTCCCGCCTTTCGCATGTTGCATGTCGTATCTCGAATGTTAAATGCTCGAATATCGCATCTCGCTGCACTATCATGATGTTGCATCTCGCTCCATAATTTATAAAGAGAATAAAAAACGACCAAAAGTCAGCAAATAAGTTAAAACCAAAGACATGTAAACCTTGCGGACATCTCCCTCGCAAGCCACCAGCTACACATACCTTTTAGTTTTAATATTACAGTTGGAATAGCGCACGAAACTATATACTTCACCCCATTCCTCTGTTGAAAAAAAAAGATACTGGAGCGTTCTTGCCCCCCCCCCCTCCGTCTGGATGCCCCCTTGGATGAAACTCGAAAGTAGTACGGGGAATCATGATCTTTAAGTAACGTCACTGGGCAGAATGTCTGCGTCTCGCATGACATTCAGAAAGGATGAAATCACCTTGTAATGATATTTGTTAAGTTTTCGTAGACTATAGAAATATCCTGTGAGCTAAACACTCTGTCAGTAATAACTTCGGGCTAGTTCAACTTATATTTTGATTGTAACAGCTCTGCCGCCCTACAAACTTCTGAAAACGATTTTTGTTTTTGTTTTTTACAATATAACTCCTATAACTAAACTCGAAAATACATGCCTTTTATTATTCGTATCATTTAAAAAAAGATGAAAAGAAAACACCCCACAGTGATTACAACCAACATCTTTCAGGCCAGGCCTAAGCAACATCGATGACTCTTAGGAACAAAATATACGGGACTGCACGTGTCGATGATGTTAAGGTGGGAATCGAACCCACTCCTAATTAAGAACCCTGACCTTAGATTCAACCAATGAACTACTCAACGAAGTATCCACACTGAGCCAGTACTCGCTGAATAAATCTGACCTTTTTATAATATCCGTCGCCACCATAGCTCCATCACCACGCACGATCTGAATGGACACCGTGCAATCAATCGATGCAGTCACTGAATAAGCACGTTGGATCTCTATACATTTACAATAGTAAACCATGGAGCTATATGAGTAAACAGAGTACCGCATGATTTTCGCGGTGCAGGCTTTCAGCACGCTGTGCTCTCACAGTCGCATTATATAATTCAGCGAAAGAAAGAAAAATATGCGCATTGAGAAAACAGACAATAAAGACTTGTTCCTTTAATTATAGGACGGCACTTTTCGTTGGTGATGAACCAAAAATGAGAAAAAGCCGGATCGCGCCAGTGGATCTGTGAGGTTCCGAACCCGTTTGCTTAAACGTGCTTGTGAAGAAATCGAAGTATCCACTCGGCCAACGCCAGCACTTCACAATTGGAAAAATAAGGTTTATGTATGCTACGTTGGTGGCATTGCGAAATCATATCACAAAAGTTCATTATCATGACGGCAATATTTACCCTTACCCAATGATGTTTCCATGATTAAAAAAAAAAGATCAATAATATCATTATGTTCCCGAGCTTAAATGTCTAAAGGGGTATCACGATGACTGTAGTGGCGTCATGCGCAACCTCGTTCCCGTGGTGTCGAGCAGTACGGTCCCGCCACTACTCTTTTTGTGTGTGTAGGCGAATCAGGAACAGTCTGCATGGTGCCTGGCTGTGCTTTACGTCAGCGTTTGTTTTTGTATGCGGCGTCTTGGGTAAAAAAAAACCCAATCAATTCGTCGAGGCGTGAGTATGAAAATACGATGTTTTATGCACTGTATCACATTTTCATTTTAATATAAAAAGCAAAATTGGATTTAGATAAAACACGTAATACACGTTTGAAATAACAAAACCAAGTGCACGATATAGCCTAAACAATTACTTGCTTAAAAAGGATGAGCCGGATTTATGATCGAATCTGGCCCCTTTATGAGGCAGAACCTGTACTGCCCGCGATGGAAAAAATCTAATTTTCGAGGTGAAACTCAAAACATAGCCGTGGGAATAAAAACTACAAAGCACAGAATTATGTTAAAAACCACACCATTCAGCAAAAAGCAGAGGCCGATTTGTAGAACATGGCTTGATTTGGGAAAACTCCCTCCCAAGTCCCTACGCCTTTAAGATTATTTGGACATTAAAAAAATAGCTGGATTGCGCGTGTGGAAACATATCCAGGGGTGGGACTTAAACCCACGGTCCTAGTAACGGTCTTGATATGTTCTACCGACTGAGCTACTCTGAGCCTCGGGGGAGAAGCCACTCAGCTGCGCCATTAATATAGAGTAAATTAACGCTTTTTATTTCATACGCGAGGGTACGCCAAAAAAGTTTAAGACTGAAACTTCCAAATGACAGTAAATAGACTGACAGCAAAAACACTGCACCATAACTGATGCACGGTACTTGAACACCCCTTCCTTGACCGTGAGCATGAGCGATCTTACAAACTGTTTGTGAAACAGATGAATTGTATGGTATAGAAATGAAGAGTACAATGTATAATCCCTCATGTAAGTAGCCTCAAGTTAACTTGGTCAACAGAACGTTTACACTGATACCGTTAACTTTACTGACAGTTTTAGTGATTCGTTGACTTGTAGTCTACTAATGTTTTTATTCAGCAAACCGTTCAGCAATTGAAAGTAGTCACCGATTGAATTGCACTCTAAAACAAAAACATTATGTTTCTGTCCACACGAAGGACTTGAATTTACGGAGGAAAGTACAGCCGTTGATTTGCCTTGCCACACATTTTCTATTCCACTTCAATTTCTCATCCGTGAATATAACTTCCAAGGTATTTGTATTCCGCAACAATTTCAACATCTTCATTCTTAATCCTCAAAGGTGAAATTTCACTCTATAAATCTTACGCAGATCGAAAATCATTTCCTTGATCACCAAGGGATTATTGATCACCAAGGGATTATCCTCACACCATTTAACAAAACGATCTTCCTTATCCTTGTATGCAGTTTCGTCATTATTATGGGGGTATCTGCATACTTAACAACTTCAGTAAGGCGGCACCGTTTTACCCTGAAGTGAATATTTCCCGTAAAAAATACAATCCGTACCCGCGCCCTTATATCCACGATACTCTTGTTGGTGTCGCTAGAATCGCCAATAAAAATACTGCTTCAATTAGCCGGCAAGCATAGTGCATTCGTATGCTTTGTATAATGTACACACTAAAATCGAGGCTAGATAAATCAATGATCAATCAGTTATATCATATGGAGCTTATATGATTATTTAAATCGGCCGAAAGCTGATATGACCCACCCTATTTCCCGCCACAGAATTCAATGTAGCATAGGAAAAAGAAAAGAAGGGGCAAAAAAGCATTTCTGTATTAATTTGAGAGCATTAACTTCAGGATAGTTATCCACCATCGATCAATCGACCGAGATTGAAAATGCTGGACTGCGCATGTGGATGGTGCTAAGGTGGGAATCGAGCCCACGACCTTAAAGTAGGTAGTTCCAGTTAAAACTCAACGAAGTATCCACACTGCTGAGCCAACACAAATGTTGTTAAACAAAACCTTTTATACATCACGATGACCGTGATGAGTTGCGTCATGCGACGATGCCGCGGCTTATTATACACGTATACATGTATATTATCTGGATATTGTCACAGACAAGAGAATAATAGTATTCACTGCTGCATACCTCAAACTCAACAACCCCTGAAGAAGGACCTATGCAAGCTTGGGAATTATTTTGGAAAAGGCACCGCTTTTGAAATTTTCCCTACGGTCATAAATTATGGTGATCTATATAGCTACCATCTGACATTTAGCCCAAGAATTAGAAACAGACATAAAAACCTAAACTAACCTTATTTTCGAGGTGAAACTCGAAAAAACCTTGGGGATTAAAAAACCCCAACAAATTAATGTAACAAATATAAAGCCTAAAACGAAGAGGATTTGTAGAACTCTCTGTTTTGGGAAAAACCCTCCCAATGCGTTTACGATTATTTGGAGACGATTAAGAAAAATGCTGGATTGCGCATGTGGAAACGTATCCAGAGGTGGGACTTGAACCCACGCCCCCAAGATTTTTAATTTTATGTTCTACCGACTGAACTACTCGGACGAAGTAGCCACACATCTTAGCCAGCAACGGTTGTGTAAAATAACCCTTTTTATTTCATACATAGGGGAGGGACACGCAATATCCTGTAATAGTTGCATCACAGATGTGTCATTGAGGCCATGAAAGTGCAATGCATTTACTGCATTCTGGAGTTAATTGCCCGCCCCCAAGCGAAAATATAAAGGGAAAGAACAAAATGGTTAGGGGGAGATGAAAGAATTAAAAAAAAATACAAATCACAGAGTTTTAACTTAATAATTATATGTTCACTAAAATTGTTTGATGAAATCTAGGCTAAAAAAATCCGCCTCGTAAATTATCATGGAGCTTATTATAATAACACATTGACCGATTTTTTTTTCGGTCGATGTAATTTTTGTATTGCTAGAAAAAAGAGCAATGTAGATTTTTTTTCAGGATTAACCCAGAGCCGGATTAACTTCCCGTTTTCCCGGCATTTTTTTCCTGATATTTTCAAGAAATAATGGATGCAACTCGAAAACGTATAACTACGGGGAATACATCTTTCAATACATCTGAATATAAACACGTTTCATACGCAACGTCATTTGCATGGGCAGTCTGCGTCATGTTTCAGAAAAGGATGAAATCACTGGATGTTCTGCAAAGTAGAAATATCCTGCGCGCTCACGGTGTCGGAAATAATTTACGTTGGTTAATCTGTGGTTAACCTGCAAAGTCGCTCTACGAGTTAAAATGTGAATGTTAGATTTTACAACTCCCGCAACCGTAATCTTAACAAAGACACATTATTTTTTATCATCTCCAAAAAGAACAGAATGAAAAAAAAAACCCACACGGTGATGGACATTTTAATTACAGCAGATATCACCTTCAGGAAAAAGTACTGACTGCACATGTGGATGGGACGGTTAACGAGGGAATCGAACCCACTCCTTAAGGACCCTGACCTTAATTCAATGGACTACTCAGCTCAACGAATTATTAACAATGCTGAGCTAGGACTTGCTGAACAAATCGGAACTTTTTTCCATTACATCTGGCACCATGATCATGGAATTCTCTTGTCATATATTTTGCAATCAATAATCAATGCAACGACTGAGTACGCGGGATATTTCTCTAATTCAGCGTGGTGCCGCAAATGTTCTCTTTGGCATTCCCACTGCTATAGCGCACAAACTTCGAAAACCTACTTTAAGTAGAAAGAAGGAAAATGTGCGCATTTAAGAATACGGACTTGCTTTATAATTCAAGGATAACACTTTACGTTTGCATTCCATCCATTTGAGTAAAATGCCGGATCGCGCCAGTGGATCTTGTAGGTTTCGAGCCTAGCCCGTAACCATTTAGACAAGTTGTGTGAGAATATCGAAGTATCCACTCGGCCAACGCCGGCAACTGATGTGGAGGGTACTAATGTCACGCTACACTGTCGACATTGCAAAATCATATCACAAAAGTTCATTATCATGAAGGCAATATTTACTCACACCCAGGTTGCCGAGAATAAAGTAAGTTCAGTATTATATTTATGCTTCTAACTTTTAATTCCGAGCTTATTGGCTAACGAGGCAGCCGGCCGCGCCATGCCGGGGCGAGCTAGCTGGCATGCCGTCAATTAAGGCTTGTCACGTGACATTATGCGCGGCATACATTTAGATTTTTTTCCTACGGAAGCAGAAGCCCCAAATTATTAAAATGGGAAAGCTTCACACAGTAAAAGCTGAAAATTTCTCCTTGGCAAAAACTTACAATTACAATTAACATCGAATTTCTGTTGTTGTTTTTGCTATTGTTGTTGTTGGACGTGGGTTGATGGTGTTCGTGATGTCGTAGGAAATAATATTTTTTTTCCTGATGACGTATTATTAAAGCGCGTCGTTTTTTTTAGCTGGTTTCATGCAAATGAATGGTGTAAATACTGCATGCCTGGCTGCGAACCAGTGCTGAAAAATAGGCCACGCGCACGCGCAGCATGCATGTGCTACAATCGTGTGTCGTTTTGTGACTGCGTGAGTGTCTGGTGAATTTCTGGCACCATGGTTTCCCCGGATTCGTCGAAAAAGAAGGTTGCGAATCTCCGAGTGCAAGATCTGAAGTTAGAATTGGAAAAAAGAGGTCTTGATAACAAAGGAGTAAAAGCAGTGCTTCTTGAAAGATTACAAAAGGTAAAGAAAATGATGTGTGAATATTGGTCATTTTTTGTGATGGTGGATTGGGAAGTGGGTCAACTCGTACCCAAGTTAACTCGTACCCGAGTCAATTCGTACCCCAAAATTTACACCCCAGTCAAGTCGTACCCGAGTCAGGTCGTACCCGAACTCGTACCCAAGTCAAGTCGTACCCGAGTTGACTCGTACCCGCAGCTCAAAATAGTTGCATATTTTCGAAAATCAGGGAAACGAACGGAAGATGAGGGATTTTGCCAGTTGTCCGTGCAGGCCCGTGCGATCGAACCGAAAATGACTGCGATCATTCTGCGCGCGTGCTCGTTTCAAAAGTTAGGGAGGTCTTAGTGCGGAAAGGGCATATGTTTCATCATTTTTGCCGAAAACAGACAAAATCCACCGATGTTTGTTGGGTGCACATAACGTGAGTATGTCATGAGGTATTGACTATTGTACGGAGTTTAGGGGCAAACTGTGCAGCGGTTCTGTGGGAAAATGCTTGGTTGGGATGGACGTTTTTGTACTTAATTAGTGTTTTGTGCTGACAACAATTTTGCGGCGTTCTGAACCTATGAGGCTCCACTACAAGTTCTAGGAGTAGGCCCGGGTGACATCGTTTTTGCCGGGTCTGAGCGCGCACTCGCCGGTCAACGTGGTCGTACTTCACGGTGACTGCTCCTAGAACTATGAGGCTCCACATAGTGGAGCCTCATAGATCAAGAAGCCCGCAAAATTGCCTGCAGCACAAAACATAGTAATAAAGTACAAAAACGTCCATCAAAATGGAGACATTTCACACAGAACCGCTGCACAGTTTGCCCCTATACTCCGTACTTTATCTCTTGACATACTCACGTATCATGCGCAGAAAGTACTTTATTAGTGTTTTGTGCTGCAGGCAATTTTGCGGGCTTCTTGATCTATGAGGCTCCACTACGTGGAGCCTCATAGTTCTAGGAGTACACGGTGACATTGTTTTTGCCGGGCCTGTGGCGCATGGCGCTCGCCGGTCCACGTGGTCGTCTGTGCACGGTGACATCGTTTTGTCGAGCCTGTACATATCCCCATGCGCACACTCGCGGCGTAACTACTATTTATGTCGCCGTTTCTTAGGGTAAAATCGGAAGTTTTTGTTAACCATCCTTCCATCCGTCCTCCCCAAAAAGGAGGGGAGTACGAGTTGACCTGGGTACGAGTTGACTCGGGTACGAGTTGACTCGGGTACGAGTTAACTTGGGTACGAGTTAACCTGGGTACGAGTTGACCTGGGTATGAGCTGACTCGAGTACGAGTTGACTCGGGTACGAGTTGACCCAAAATCGTGGATTGGTGGCTCATTGAATATGCATCTTGCAATGTTGCACTAGTTGTACGCATTACATGCATTATATTCACCATGTTTCCGTTCACGTTACCTTCTACTTCTACGCTCATGACGCTTGGTTGGCAAACTCAAACTGCACATTTTGCCAACCACTCTCAAGCTCAAAGAAAATGTAACTTTCCTACCTTTTTGCAGTTGAGTATACAAGCACGTACGTTGTGGAGTGTTGGCATGGTTGGGCCAAATAAAAAAAATGTTTGGCGTCCTGCCTTTTTAAAAAATAGGAAGCGGGAGGCCCTTTTTTCGGCGCCCTACATACAGTGGCTACACTTCACGATCGCCCTTTTTTCCTTCAAAATGGCCGCCCGACCGGGCTATTTTTCAAGATGGCCGCCATTTCTTTTTTAAATGGCCCCCATTACCTCAAGAAATGACATACCAGCTTTATATATGGGCTAGATTAGGCAACAGACAAAGAGGCCAAAATTATGACATCGTTTAGGGTAAGCACGGGTGTTTTCGACCAGCATGACCGGGGAGAATTCGACTGCTGTTACTAACCGGCGACCGCTCAATAAAATACGTAAGAGGTATCCTCATAATAGACTTTGGCAGTGGATATTTTGCCGGAGACAGCAAACCTTTAGTAAAAGTTAGCTTGCCAGATATGCACTGAACATACGCAGTTACTATTTTTTAAGTTAAGACATTTTCCGGTGACAAATTTTAGTCTGGCTCCATGCCAACATTATCGTTGTAACTTTTACCATTTTACAATATCGAACTTTATTTCCCTTTTAAAAAAATCCTCCAGAGCCACAAATCTGAAAAGAAAATGTGTACTCTGCAAAAAAATGTTTGAGACATGTTAACATAATAAAAGGAAAAATATTCTTTTTTGGGGGGATGGCATGGATGGGGGAAAAAACCTTAGAAATGTTGCCAGCGAGGATCGGGATCGAACCCGGGTCTTCCCGCTCATGAGATCCATTGCTTAGCCACTAGACCAAGTGTGAAACACAACCGTTGGTGGTAATTTAATATATCTTATAATTCAGCCCTATCTTAGAAAGTACAGCGCCCTCTGTTGATATGGATTGCTACTGGCAAACCTTTTGTAAACGTTAGCTTGCCGACATTACCTCCGGCAATATATCCACTATCATAAACTTTACACATGATGTTCAGTTCCTGCCCTTGATTGTCCATTGTTCAGAAGTCAGAACAGCTCCGTGAAATCTTTGTAATTCAATCCAAAATTGAACTCGCGTAAGCCGGTGCGGTTGCCGTGTTATTGGGTCACGTAAGAACAAGGGTATCATTGGTGGCACTCTTTGAGACTTAACAGGGGTGATGCCGTCAAATCAAGCCAACCTGTCAATCATTATTGGTTAGGTCATCAGGTCGATGCATGATTGGCTGACAATGTTTATTGGGCAGGGCTGATATAGGGGTGATCAAATTATGACCAACAGAGGGCGCTGCTGTGGCTGTTTTTGATCACCGCGCTTATTGTATTGGCTTGGCACATTGGGGCGCGGGGGCGTGCGCGGTGAATTGGATCGGGCCCTGAGATTCACTTTGAGATTTTAAGGGTTGATTTGTGTAATTTTGTTGAATACTCCCCCTTTTACCATAAATGTATACATTTTTGGGTAAAAAAAAAAAAGGAGGAGGCCTCCAAAATGTAGTTCGCTTGTGCTGCATTCTGTCCCACATTCAATGACACAAAATTTAGTTATTTATCCCTCACGCCAGGCATTAAAAAAAGTTCCCCTTTCTTCCTCTACCCTATTTTTTACGCACAGGCCCTGACTGAGAATGGAGAGGATCCCAATGAGATTGTGTTTGAAACTCCAGCCACCCCAAAGGCAGCTGCTGCAAAGAAACCACCCGCAAGTATGTCACTCTCCTGTGTTCACATTTGTTCTCAGTGATTGGAATGTTCTCGGTACTTTGGGAGGGAGACGCATTTTCCTTCATACTATGTACAGTGGATCACAAAAATTGGGTGTTGTAAAAACAACCCGAGATTCTTATATTGGGCTTGTTGCTCCTTGACAGTTAAAAGTGCAGAGATTGTGCCACTGGTTTCCTGCTCAGCAGTGGATCCAAAAGGATGGGCACGAGGTTTTGCAGCAAAAATGCCTCGGTTTTATTGTAATTTGGGCTTGATATGGTCGGGACTCAGTAAGTCAACCCTAACTCCCTAGCGTCTTTTACTAGGAACTAGACCAATTCCATCAAAATCTATCAATCACTGTGCGTCCAATGCAAAACTGTACATGACGTAATGGAATCCACCATTGACGCACTGGTTGACATTCATGGACTTGCTGCGCATGGCTTTTATCACAATAGCACTTACAGGAAGCTGGGCAAAATCATTCGGATACCCCAAGCACTGCTTCAGGCCATTAGGCCCAAGTCCATCATACTCCGTCAATATGTAGTCATGCCAGGCCTTCTGGACCTTCAAGTCCCCCAAAATCCACCAAAACAAGGGGATGGATTTTGATGGAGTTGGGGTGGTTAGGGTTAAGGACTCGCTATGCATATTGTTTCATTAGCAAAATTTTGTTCTGGTTGTAAAAGAAAGTGCTTCTGTTGGTTGTTGTAGTTGTTAACAGATGGCTTATGCTTCAATTTATTTACAGGAAAGAGAACATCGAAAGGAAAGTCGGGGGTAAGTGTTCTATTTATCTTGCTTGCAACTTGCACTTCCATGAACTTGTCTTGAAATTAGCTTGTGAGATTGTTCAGAGCTTCATGGCACATGAAAAGCAGCATTTTGGGGAGGTAAACTTTACTTTCAAGTTTTAACCCCTAGCAGAAGTCAGTATTCACACCTGTATGTAAAACCTGTTAACCCTTACCCTTAACCCTAACTCCCTAGGGGGTGTGCAAAATCATATTGAAATTGGAGGATTCAGGACTGTTAGGGCTATTCCCTTTTGCTTGGAGCCATTGTTAATCCTCCAAAATCCTCCAAAATGTTGCCCTCATGTTAAAAATGAAGGATACCCATTGCCTCAGTCCTTCACAATCGACCTACAGTCCTGCCTCTCAAATTGCATTCATCCAAATCCCCCAAAATCCTCCTCTTCTTCATACACCATCAATCCTGCAAACTCAATCTTTATTGAATGTCCATGTACCCTCAATCCTCCACAATCCTATGTTGCATTCATCCTCAATCTTCCATAATTCTCCGAACTGGCCAGAGGACTTTTGAGGATTGAGAAGGATTAGGGTTAAACACACTTACCTGATATCCTTTCCCCTGAAACTGACCTGTAGGGTTTTAACCCTAACTCCCAATTGACTTGACTGTTAAAGTAATGGACCAAGTCGGCCAAAATCCATCACTGACCCCGCTTCACATAACGCTTTAAGACCAAATCCGCTGGAATCCGCTGCAAGACCACCACTACTATAGGCGGATTTTGCTGGACTTGGTACTCATGGCTTGCCTACCAAAATCCCCAAAATGAGCGGATGAATTTTTTATGGATTTCGGGAAGGTTAGTGTTAAAGAAGTGAAAGCTGATTTTTTCTTTCCTTTGCAAAATTTTGTTTCATTTGCAAATTTTAGGAGGATGAGGGAGAGTCGGATGAAGATATGGAGGAAGGATTAGAAGGTTTGGAAGGTTTGGGAGGAGACGGCATGGTGGTGGACGAAGTGACTGATGACATGGAGACTAGTCAGGAAGAAGGTACCAGTAAGGTGAGTTGTCAAAAGCGGTTAAAAAGCGCCCTCTCTTGTCTGCACACAGAGCCCGTAAGTGGAATCTTTATTATGGCCTTATTAAAGGGACGTTACATTGTGGAATGTGCCCAATTGGGCTACAAAACGCATTTTAGCCCTAACCTCGAGAACCGTGCGTGGACGCATTTCAGGGGTCATTAAAAAAAACACACAATTTTCAGGGATTTCAGGCCGTTAATGCCCTTTTAATTTCATTCTTGTCATCTTGTTTTTTTTTTTTTTTTTTCTCAGGGGGAGGACATTGACTTGGACGTCATCTTAGGAAGCCACGAGGATGACGACGAAGACGTTTTGAACATAAGTCTGGAGGAAGACCAATTCTTCACCGAAGAGGTGTGAACCAATCTGTGGGTCTAAGGCTATGAGTTTTTCACAGTTAACTTAATTTTACATCAGAGTGAAAAGTTTCATGACAATCTGATGCATTTCACTAACTGTGTAAATCCCATTGGAATGGGTGAAAAACCTATAGCCTTTACAGTCTGTTATTTTCACTGATTATAATATGCTCCATCGAGATGACATACTCATGCTAAGTAGTTTTTGAGAAATTAAAGGATATCTGCGTGCACAACTTTTGTTATGGGACACCCAGTGACCCAGAAATCCCAACTATCAAACACCAGTCTGAAGCAAGTGTGAAGTTGCTAAATTCCAACCTACCGACCCTATTTTTGAAAGGCATGTAATCAGAATTTTTTTGGGCCTAACTTTACATGTATAATTGCAGTTTCAGTGAATGAGGACAAGGGTTCTGTTGCAATAAATATTATATATCCCCAAGTAAGAACAGCTGTATTGGTGGCTAAGTTCCCCAAGCTCCGTCCTTTAATTAAATAAATACACCGTGAATCTTTGGGACGCTTTGGCCAACACAACTTGCAAAACTCTCCGACGAATGTTTTGTGGATTTTTCAATTTCCTCAAATCTCACCCCTGAAGAACAGAACAAGGCGTGAGATTACTATTCACTCGACCTCAAGCCAGGCGGGTTGAAGCCTTCTCCCATCGGGCAGCACACTCACGGCATTGCTCGCTGCGAGTGGGTCACTGACAGATGTTTTTTGGGCTTGTTTTCTACGTGTTTATCTGTCATCCGTTCCGAATAGCATAAAACCTTTGCCGGAAAAGACGTCATCCAGTGCGAACTGGTTAAAAAAAAAGAAAGCATGAACCAAGGAAGAAATAGTTATGTTTTTTTTTTGGGATAGTAAGGCTTAAAATGTTCATTTTTAATTTTTGGTTTACGTTTTCTTCTAATTTTCTGCAGGAAAGCGAGGGATTTGCTCTTGAAGGTGAAAAAGGTAAAACAAGTCTGCTCAAACAGGGAATGTTTATTTGTATGTTATCACGTATAAAGGTGTAAAGAAACAAAATACACACATGCAATTTTTGTAAAAAAAAAAAAAGTACACAAATCACATGGTAGAAAGGCTTGTTTCTCATGGGTCTGTGTGAATCTCTTCAGCATATCTGGCATTTTTCAGATTACAGAACTTGAAGGTTGATAAGAGTCCCTTTTGGATGGATGTTGAATTAGGCATCTGAAAAAAAAATCAATCTCAAAACAAAATTGCCCTTGTGCTGGAGAGACTTACCAGGACAGAGTAGAAAACATAGCGGATGTTGAAGGAGGTGTGACAGATGTCTCATCATAGCAACCACAATTACATGATGTGAGCCAACGGATCTTGAAGCCAACAGTGCTCCTGGATGTCACGTCGAGATTGGCCCGATGCTGGATTCATGCCATGGTCGACATATCAAGATCGTCTGACTTCATGAAAACGACAACGGTTGCCAGCAGGCTTGTACCACAAACATGAGCAACCAGACAGAGCCTTCAAGAAACACAATCCTCTTGAGCTGTGAAGTGATCCTGTTGTGCGTAGCGAGACCACATTATGTACCTGTGCATACATCACGTGGTGTTCTCAGCAAACCTCAGTCCATGTGCCGAAGCCTTGTCAACATCAGCAGTCCGCAGAACTTTTCCGTTCGATTTATATTGTACACAGCAGTATCACAGTTGTAACAGCGAGACTGGCTAACAACTGTCGCTCTAGCAGACTAGCTGGTTTTCTTCTGATGGCACACCGAACCTGACACAGAAGCACAGAACACTTCAAATTCTCTGCACGAGACAGCACTTTCAGGGAGAGAGCCGGTCTTACCGAGCAAACATAGCTGAAGACTGTAGGAGTTCATGGAGCGGATAGTCACATTTTATCCCAGCATTTTGCCAAATGAAATATTTGGTATCCCTGTGTTCAAGTCAGCTGTTCTTCGAGGACACCTCGACATTGCTTTGAACACAGCATCAAGTTTCTCCGCGATGGCTTTACGTAATCCACCAGAGCTCATCATCTTATACGGCGATTACCGAATAGCCTCCACATCTGAAGTCCCAAAAGAGGCTTCTCAAAAGGTTTAGTAGACAGAAACAAGCCTTTCTCTATATTCAAATACAGACAGAGAAACAAATTCATCTTGTTATTTTTGTTTCAAAATACATAATTGGAAGGATGTCCTCAGAGCCCCAATGTATTTAGTCCATAACATCTGCTGAGTTTTCTTTGAAGGATTTGCTTCTTCTCCACTTTGGCAGCTATTCCGGCCTTCGTATATTGGCAGAAGGTCAGAACTGACCCCCCAAAATGCCCTGTTACTTAAAAAAAAAATTGTGCTCAAAATTATTGCCTAACCCCTTTCAGCAAGTAGCAATCAGGATGAAAAAATGGAAGCAGAGGATTCCTCAGCCCCCGAAGCGGAAGACTCCAAAGAAGCCGGCAAGGAGGATTCTTTCTCACAAGATACTTCTTTAGATACCAAAGGGGAGGGTAGCGAGTCGTTAGTAGTCCATGTTGATGAGCCGTTCATGTCGGAGCTCGACGAAGAGCTGGCCGAGACCGCCACCTCAAAGAAGTCCGAAGATGCCGAGGCTGCAACCCCAGCCAACGATAACAAGTCGGCCGAAGCCAAAGTTGATGGGCAGAAGGAGAAAGGGGAATCCGAGCCACCAGAAAAGGCCGACAAGAGTGATAAGAGTCCAGCAGGCGACGCCAAAAAAGATGACAAGGGCGAGGAGAAGGTTAGCCCTGCTAAGGCGGCCGCTGCCGGCAAGGAATCGGCCTCGGACAAGAAAGCCACCACCTCGGCAGGAGCTGCAAACTCACGCAGCAAAAGGTTTGTCAGTCATGCTGATTCTTGATAATCGTTTACTAGCTAGAATAAGTTTTCATGCAAAGAACATCTTTGGCGCCAGCGGGCATACTTCCTGCGAAACCTGCTATGATTATTATTATTTTTTAACTTGGAAGCCTGTGGAGTTGTGAAATTGATCATTAAACGTTGTGCACAATGCGTCCTGGTCAAAGCATTAATCACTCCATCCTTCATCAATGCAGCATCCATCACGCACGCACTAGACGTTGTCGCAGTGCAATTTATTCCGAATCCCGTCGTTCAGACTTGCGCGGGGTGACTGGTTAGACGTGTTTTGAGATGAGGATCACTCAGTCTTCCTTAGGAGCTTTAAGGCAAGGGGAGAAGACGGCTGAAGATTTGAGGCTTTTGAAGTTGACTGCGGTGGCCTTGCTGTTGACCGAACGGTCAAAACCAGATGCAAAAAAAAAAAGTTTGAACAACATGACTTAAATTGACGTCTGGAGCTGAAAGTCTTTCACTCATGCAAATGTGCTGCATTTTAAACTAAAGCTGCTTCTTGAAAATTGGATTGAATTTACGTTCATGTACATCCACCCAAAATAAAAAACCCTGAAAACTGAAATTTGATCACAGTAGTCATCCACATTTTGTTTTACTCTTCAATAAGGACATGAAATTGATAGTTTCACAAACGTGGTGAATATGCATGAAGGGAAGTGGCTTCATGTGCAGCTCAGATGATGTGCTCGTCTCATGAAGGTTCCAATCCCATCGGAACGTCTAGGAATGTAGACTTTTTGTCAGTTCGGCCTTGAAAAATACTGTCGAAATAATGCACGCAGCAGAGTAAAGTCCACTTTGATCCGCGCGGTGACTGCCGTTGGTCAGCAGTTGTTACTGACTCCCTGTGAAGATCCAACTGGTGGCACAGTTCTGGTTGCAGAATAGAAAAAAAAGTACAATTTAATTCATACAAAAAGTTTAATATATCCTATGCTTCAAGTCAAGCTTCATAAAATTAGTTTGGCGTTATTTTCTCTGGCTATACTAACATATTGAGTGGTCTGTTTAGTTCAGTTGAACTTACTAACATGTTAATGTGGGGGAATACTGCTGTTTCTGTTGGAGAGTCTTACATGGGAACATTCTTACATGGGAACATTGGGATGTTGTCGTCAAAATGTTTTCATTTCCCACAGGTAAGTTGGAGATTTTAAAGCCAGTATCCTCTGCAGCAAGGAAGTTTCTTTTCTAATACTTTTCCCTACAAATTTTGTTCTCAGCTCGAGCTCTTCAGGACGGTCCCCAACCTCCAAGGATGACAAAGGTTTGTACCAGATTTAAAAAAAAAAAAGAACTTAAGCATTGAATTAGTTTTGCTAAAAGCCCTTTCCACACTAGACAAATCTCGGGGTTGACGCAGGGTTGACGGAGGGTTGAAAATATGCATCATTTCACATTTGGAAGAATTTCAATCCTGTGTCAACCCTGCGTCAACCCCGAGATTGATTCCGCCCCGGGTTGAACTCAACCCTGCTCCAGACCAGGGTTGAGATTTTCAACCCGGGTTGAAATTTTTGCCAGGGTTAAAAACAGAAGAAACTGAGCATAATAAGCTTGATTTGCATGAAACAAGTAAGAAACAATGTGGGGTTGAACGCGGGGTTGAAAAATCTAAAACTCAACCCGGGGCAGCACTGGGTTCACCCAGGGTTCACCCAGGGTTCACCCAGGGTTTAGTTCAACCCGGGTTGAGAGGCTCTAGTGTGAAAAGGGCTAAAGTGTTTCAAAATGGAAAGTTGGTATCAGATGTATATTAACTACTGGTGCAGTATAAATGCCAGACTAGTTATCTCACTTGCTAGTCATTTTCTTTATCAGATTTTTAACCATTTTAAGGATCGACTACTCACTCATTGTACCTAAAATCCTAAACTGCAGCCTGGATGCTTCCCATGTGCTAAGCAACTGGAGAAAATAAGCAACTAGGGAAAATACGATAAGCAACCAGGGAATATGGTCCTGATTTTTAAGTAATTACTTTATTTTCCTAATAGAAATTGTCAAGACATTTCCTTTCCTGAATGAATGGGAGGTTTGCGGTAACACCATGTGAATGATATCTCTTTGTGAGTTGTGTGGCTCTGAGAAGAACCAGTTGGTTGAACTCGACGTTTCGAACAGTATGCTCTGTTTGTCATCAGGAGACTGATCATTGATCGTGTCCACCATGCAAACCCTTAAGTCTCATTTAATCCTTTCCCGACAACTTCCAAGAGTTCAGAGGCCTTCTATCCCTCTTGTCTTAGGTATTTGGAATACATTGGTCTTGGGGGGAAAACATTACTGTACCAAAATCCAGCATGCTAGGACATAGCGACTCAAGAGGCAGTTAGATAAACACAATTTCATAAAGGCATTTCACTGTCCAAATTTTCAAAATCCGGTTTAATTTTGCGGTTGGTAGATCGGCGTGGCTCAGGATCCTCGCGGCCAGGCTCTGGCAGCTCAGGGACTACCTCTGGTCGTAACCTTTGGGTGAGCAACCTGTCCAGGAACACGCGTGCGGCAGACCTAAAGGCCTCCTTCAGCAAGTATGGCAAGGTAGGTGCAGTCTCCTCCATTAGTCTGAACACTTTCTCAATATCTGGCTTAGACCTGTTCCGCGTCCTCAAATGCAGGATTAACAAATATATTCACTTGGCACAATAGAGAGGAATATTGAAGTAGTAAGATTACACAACAAAGTAAACATTTCAGATACTTTTGAGATGTTGGCCCGTCAACGAATACATATATGATTCCAGGATTATCAAAAATATTTACATGGCACAATAGAGGAGAATATTGAAGTAGCAAGATTACACAAAGTATACATTTCAGATGCTTCTAGGATGTTGGCCCGTCAACGAATACATGTATGATTCCAGGAGTATCAAAAATATTTACATGGCACAATAGAGGAGAATATTGAAGTAGCAAGATTTCACAACAAAGTATACAGTTCAGATACTTTGAGGATGTTGGCCCGTCAACGAATACAAATATGATTCCAGGATTATCAAAAATATTTAAATTGGCACAATAGAGGGGAATATTGTAGTAGCAAGATTTCACAACAAAGTATACAGTTCTGATGCTTTGAGGATATTGGCCTGTCAACGAATACAAATATGATTCCAGGTGTATCTGGCTATCTCTTCCATAGGTTGGTGCTATGTACCGGTTGGAGGTTTCAACCAAGATGTGGTTGCAATTTCTTGCTCATTTAAACCCTTCAATACTAACTGCTAAATCAAGCAGATCGCTATAAGATGAGAGTTTCGTTTAGCTTTCGATAAAATGTCTATTAGATATTGCCCACTGTTTGATCTTGTTTGAGCCTGCCAGCTTGAAGAATGAAGCAATCATACTTGAGAAGTAGAAGAAGTCATACTTTGATTCAGAGTTTTTAAGTTGTCTTTTTGCTACAATTGTAATCTACATACGCTTTTCTGTGTCACGCCACTTTTTAAAGGTTAGAAGGTCGTTGTATTTCAATCCCACCTAAATGAATTGATTACCGCGATTGTAGCAGAAGAAACTCCACTGTCGTCCGAGAGCATACATGTCATTTTGTGATACTAAAAGTGTTGTGTTCTGTACCCAGGTGGTCGGTGCCAAGGTAGTGACCAATGCCAGAGGGCCCAGGGCCTTCTGCTATGGCTTTGTGTCCATGTCCTCCAGCTCTGAGGCGGCTAAGGCCATCAACCATCTGCACCGCACCGAGCTCCACGGACGCACCATTCATGTTGAAAGGGTAAGCTTTGAACTCAGGATTTTGAAATCCGGGCAAGTCCTCATAAATCATTTGACCTTGACCCTGCCAAAATTTAGATACAGAGTTGTCTTTATAAATTAGGAGAAAATGAGCTTGCATTTGTGTGTTGATCTTAATGGGTTTTTTTGTATATTGTTATACATCCTATGGTATCCAATACACACATTTTTGTCATGGTCATTTAAACTGCATACTGATGCAAAACATTTAGAAAAGAGTATGTCATTGAAAGCCTCTGAGACAATTATTTTTCATGGAGTTGGTGCTAGACTTACCCATGTCTTTCCTGTTATACCTTTCTAGGCACGTTCCAACATGATACCTGTTGCATCGACATCAGGAGTGTCCGGGCGCAAGAAGGAGCCATCCCCGGAGAACAAGGATAAAAAGCCTGCCGAGAAGGCCGAGACTAAAGAGGTGAAGAGCACTGGAGAGACCAAGAAAGATGAGAAAGCACCTGCAGCTGCAGCGGCTGTGGAGGCCCCTGAAAGCAAGGAGGAGAAGACCACGACACCCGCTGCAAAGAAAGATGGGGAGGTTACAACAGAGGGTGCTAAACAGGAAGACAGCAAAGATGACAAAGAGGGAGCGGATGCATCAAAGGAGACAGGTTGGTTTACGTGGCTGAGTATTTTTCGAGTGTGTATGGAATTTCAATGGACTTAAAAAAAAAAAAATAATAATATGTCATGTGGTCCTTATATAATCATGGAAAAACAACATACATGTAAGTGCAACAAAAGGGCCTGATTACCAACTCTTTGTACATTCTCCGTTTAAGCATCTGCATTAACATGGCTTTGCTGATTATATCTTAACGGTTTATTTCTGGTTTCCTTTCTGAAGATGACCAAGCAGCAAGTGGTGCACAACCTGAAAGCAAGGCTGAATCCTCAGATAAGAAAGATGGCGACAAAGACGAAGCACGTCCCCGTAGTTCCCGATCCAGCACCAGCGACAAAGACAAGCAAGACTCCAAAGACCGGAAGGACATCTTGTCTCTTGACAAGATCAAGGAGCAGCGCATGCGAGAGAGACAGCGCAAGCGGGAGCGAGACCAGCGTGAGATGGAGCGACGCAGGGAGCGGGAGCGCCAGGATGCCCTCAGAAGGGAGAGGGAGATGATTCGACGGCACCAGCGAGATCAAGAGGAGCAGCTTCGTCGCCAGCGGGAGCAGCTGCGCATTGCGCAGGAGCAAGAGAAGCTGGAACGCCAGAGCATCGAGTGGGAAAGGATAAAACTGCAGCAGGAGCGGGAAAATCTGCAGCGAGAGCTGGAACAACACCGACAGATGGAGATGCAGCTACGGTTAGCTGCTGAGCGCCAGGCAACCCTGAAGAGGTCTCTCGACACGAGAAATATGGCAACGCGAGATGTGGATCCTTATGTTGGCGATCAGAAGCGCAGGGCGCCAGCTGGGCCGCAGGGTAGAGGGGATTTCAGCAACAACGGTCCCAACAGGGGAGGCATGGCCATTAGCACACATGTGGTTAATCCAGAGAGGCCACCTGATAGGTTCAATCGACGAGATACCAGGCAGATGGATTCGGGGCCACGTCGTGATAACGCACCTCAGCCAAACAAGTTCTCTGGGCCGCCGCCAAGACGCAATGACCAAGTAAGAAGAGATGACGGACGCCGTGAAGATGTCCGTCAGCGTCCCCAAACCAAGAATGAGCCAATGAAACGAGATGACCAGCCTCGCCGCAGTGGTCCAGCCCAACGACGTGATGAACCACCTGCACCTCAACATCAAAGACGTGGATCTGACACCTTCAGACGGGATGATGGGATGAAACGCCGTGATCAGCCAGAAAGGAGAATGGATACATCTCATCAGCGACAACCTCCAAGAGCAGAGGCGAGGAGAGATTCTCGAGGGGACGGCAACATGAGAGATGACCGTCGAGGACCTCCTGCAAACCAGGGTGACCGCTACCAAGGGGGCCAGGGGCAGTCCAGGGGTGGCAATGCACCCACCTACGGTACCAGAGATGGTGGCCATCCCAGCAGTGCTCGTGACAGCCATCGGGATCGTGACAGAGATATTGATAGAGGAGATAGGCCTCGTGACTCCTCTCATCAGGGTCAGTCAAAAATGGGAGGATCTCATGGAGGGGATTCCCGCACCAATTGGAAGGGAGGTCGTGATTCAGGCATGTCAGGCCAGGGTGGCCGATCTTCAGATTGGAAGTCCAACCAGCGTGGTGGAGACCGCTCTTACGATCGCGACAACCGTTCCCAGAATTACGATCGTGGGCAGGGCGGCAATAGTTGGGGTGGTGATGGCCGTTCAGGGGGCCGAGAGGATCATATGATGAGGAGCTCAGATAACCCTCAGCGTGGCAGTCTGCTTGGCACACCACCCATTCAAGATTCCAACTGGGGCTCGGGCAACATGGATGCCCCAATGAGTCGTGGGTCTGGATCACTTGTGGCGGGCAACTCTCACATCTCCAGCCTTATGAATCAGAGCCAGCCCATCAGCTCACTGCTTAACACCCCGTCGATGTCCGGCCCGTTCATCAGCGGTGGAACCGTCAGTGGTGGTCTAGGGGGTGGAGTTGGCATGATACAGCAGGTGCCCATGGGGGGTGGAGCTGGCAGCTCTTACATGGGTAATCAAATGAGTGTAGGAGGCTCCAGTGGTGGGGGGTCTATGGACCGCCATCGATCCTCGCAGAACGACGGCCGTTTTGCCATGCGTCGCTACTAAAAAAAAACCAAACAAACAAAGCAGCGAAGCTTTCTTAGATCTGTCAGAATAATGTTTTTAACCAGTCGTTATTATTTTTTTGATTTAGTATTGTAAAAGTATTTCTCTGAAAATCATTTTGTAGTGTCTTTGATGGTGATATTGTTAATCATCATAGCATCATCAAGCTGTTATGACTTTTGACCAAGTGATACTAAAAAATCTACATGTAGCCCCTGACAATGTTTGTAACTTTGTTTTCACATCGTTGTTAGTTTTAATGAACCTGTGTACATTTTTAACTACTTTATAAAGCAAGGCAAAGCACAATGAACCGTCTTTTCTTTAATTGTTTTTTAATGTAAAATGGAATTGATGTAAGTGAAGTTAAGTGTAGTGCCTATAAAAATGAAAACTTTTCACCTAGATTTATCACACAGTTTTTTGGCTAAATTTAGTCATACGGTGAATGTTAATAATTCCTTTGTAGATGGAGAAAAAGAAAGTTATGTTTCACTTTTTAAAGTCGCATCAAAGCAATTACCTTCTATGTAAACATTCGGGTTTGCTGTTTAAAACTTTTGAAAAATACGTGTACAAAATGAAGTAAGGAAATTAGGATTGGAAAATGTTATAGACTTGTTACTGTTAATCTGTTCGCTCGGAATATTTCAAGATTATTACAAGTTTGTGGTTTCACCGAACTTCAAAGGCATAAAACTGTGACTTGTTTCACTTTTGTCCAAAAACCTGTATCAAAGTTTTAATTCAAGCCTTTTAGAAACTAACCATAATAGTTAACGGGAGTTGAAAGTTATAAAATGTTGAAAAAGTATAAGGTTTAAATTTGCTTTAAATTTTACAAGATTGTTCTTTTTTCTTAAGTTTCATAGTGGATGTTAAGCCTGTGTAAGTTACATAGTTGTACTTGACTCTTGGATGCTTGTACAAAAAACGTAATTTTTGATGATTTCTTGTTTGTGGAGTCACATTCACATTTAGGGAGTCTGTACTTTCCAGCAGTATGATATATGCATGTACATTTTAATTTTGTGGGGAGAAAATGTCAAGTTCAGCATTGTACAGATTTTCAAAGGTTCTTCATTTTTTTTAATTTTGAAGATGATTCATTCTTTTGTTTGACACTTGTCCGGCTTTTGTTTTGATTGTTCTTTTTTCTCGTTGGAATCAATATTTGATTAATCATGTACCTGTACAGACACATCGATGGAGCAGTTGAATTTCATTGGAAGATGTACGTTGTTTCTTTCAAGTTTTAAGTGAGACATAAAAGGTGTTAATTGGTTACATGTATTGATTTTGCTTTCTTGGATGTAGGCTTGTGAAAATAAAGAGCTTTTCAGAGAAATTAAAACGAGGTCTCTGTTTTACTCTGTTTTGTGTTAATGAACGCGTGATGATCGATGATAACCAAAGAAGGGATCCGTTAGGGGGGAGGTTTACTAATTTTATGGAACTAGTAAATTGGGGCAAAAATAATGGATACTGAAGTTCCTAAATACATTAAATACATATATATTCTTGAATTGCCTTGGAATGCTGGAGAAATCGTAATTTTTTACCATTTTCAGGGTGGGGGACTGCATTCTTAGATCCCCCTCCTGTGACGGGGCGTGTTTTAGACATGCTTTAGACTCAAACCCCCCCCCCCTCCGTTTCCTTAAAGCTAGATCCGCCTGTGAAGCTTACTGCACGACTCCTCAGCAATCGTACGTTCTAAACCACCAACACATAGTAGAATGTTTGAAACTCCTTTCCTGATACATTTACTCACAACTATAAACTTCACATTACATGTGCATACTCTATTGGACACATGTCCATACTACCAGCCGGCTGTGCGTGAGTGATTTGGTACATATAGTCGTGTTCCCTAACGTGGCGTACTTCGAAGTTTACCCAAATTTCCTCGTGTAGTGTTGCCAAACCTCTTTGTTGACAAACCTCAAATTCATGCAGTGAAATACTGGTACTTTTACCTTATTAATGCTTGCTGTTTAATCTCTGTGAACAATTTCGGTTTCATAAAATTTAAGCCGAAATTAAAAAACGGTGGCGTCCGGAAATTGGGCACAATTTGGCGGAGTGTTCCCTAACGTGGCGCACTTAAATAAATCTTGGAAAATTCCAAATTAACATTTAAGAATTTCTGTAAACTCGATAAATTCTGATAAATCATTATTATCTCTACCTACATACCCAGCCATATGTTTGTCACAAAATTATTTTCTTATTTTTCGGGGCATTTTCAAAGGGTTCACTTTGCACTTGAAAATAAAATCGGAAAATCACGCCAAAATAATTTTTTCTTTTAACTTTGTAGCGGGTGAATAAACTCGCGATTTATGAACGGGAGTGTTTATTACTTGATGAAATTTCTCTTTCTGTGAAATTTCAGTTAAAACTTTTGCTCTAGCTAGGCGCTACAGGTGAAAAATCAAAGTGCGCCACGTTAGGGGCCGCGCCACGTTAGGGTACATCAACAATACACATTCGAGTTGTTTCCACGTGAATGCGACATCAAATGCGGCAGAGGCCAGACAAACGTCATATTTGGTAAGTAAGTTTTTGCTTCCACTATTTGTGATTCCTCCGAAATATCTGTATGTTTCAAAAACGGGCTCTTTCATTTTGCAAAATATCGCACTGCAGCTTGCAGGCGCAGCTAGGCTAGCTAGCTATGCGCTCCAAACTTAACTTGTTTATGAATATCCATGACCCTATTATGTTTGCGCACGCGCAGCGTCTCCTTACGTGTTTTTTTACGCTACCGCGGGAAATGGACGGATGAGTACTGTGCGCGGGTGAGTGAAATTTAATTCATAAAATTTGAATGAATGCCATTGAAATCGTCCGTTAGCACTGTATGAGTTGATAACTGAAATAAACATAGATCATTTTAGTCATTGAAGTGTTTGCTGACTCGTGGTTTGTAATTCTTAATTTGGATGGCAAACCGTGGAGATTTTGGGTAACATGTCGCTTGTTCAAGTTGTTGCTCATGAATTGCATATTGGAAACTGAACATGTATACGGTGTGCAGTGAAGCTATGTCATCTATGAAGGACGATAGTACTATCACGACTATACATGTACATGTACTACATCAGTACATGTACATATGGGAAAGATTGCCATAGGCCTATCTGGACATCACTAATTTTCCCTTCAGTGACTTATCAGCCATCAGAAAGTGATAGGCGTATGTCTTAAAAAGTCAACTTTAGCAGGGAAAATATTGAATTTTGAAGTGTTTAGCATCAATTAGGCCTAGTGAGAAAACACTGACTAAGGAATTTTTCAGACCAGTCTTATAGACTAGTCATACGGTTTGTGCACAGGGTGACACTGACAAGTGATGGCCAGATATGGGAATCTTTCCGTACAAATGTACATGTACAATGTACATGTACGTAAGCTTACATTAGCTTACTTCATTCATTATGTAAGTTCACGTTAGCTTACATTCATTGTACTGACTAGGCCTAATTTGCCAATGTAATCCTCTTGATACACACATATCTTTTTAGATAAAATCTCTCTAGAACTTAGAACTTAGTGGACAAATATCCTACTCGCAAGTCGTATGCTGTCACTCAGAATGTGTGATTTCAATTTTTTGTTCGTGCTCTGCAGTCATATACTCTTATGAACGTTGGTTGAATCGATACAGTTGACATGGTTGAGAATAGTCTCCAATATTTAAAAAAATCACAAATGCCTTGTTTTTACCAGTTCCAGATCACGCTTGTACCCAAAAACACACGTAATCAATTTATCTGATGGGTCAGAAGTTTGGTTAACAGTCATCTCAATCGTTTGCCAACTCGACTCGAACTAACTCGACCGTTTGCCAACTCGATCGTTGTACCAACTTGTCCATTGACCAACTTGACTTTAAATGTTGAATACTCTTGACTGAGTGCCAACTTGTCCGTTGTACAACATAAAAATATGGCTGAGATGCATGACTTCGTGCGTGCTACTTGTTCATGTAGCTCGCGGCCAGCGCAGCTTTTTCAGGGAAAATTTTTGTCAAAGATTTTAGGTTTCCATGCAGGGCTCGATTTACCCGGTGCACGCATGCACCAGTGCATGTAGATTTTTGCTTGTGCACGTAGCTTTTTTACTGAGCATGCACGACGTGCATGTAACTTTTTTAGCCACCAAAATACTCATTTCATGCATATATTTACAAATGAGTGAGAATAAGAATAAAGTTTGTTGAATACTTGACCAGATAGTGTACAAACGTGTTATTTCTTTTATATATCCATAAATTATTCCTCACAGCAGATTCAGAGTTGGCAAGATCTCGACGTCCTGCAACCTCCTCCAATCATGCATGTGATTTACCACGTGATACATGCTGCGGATAATTTGGTATCACACTGACGCTCCGGGCATTTCTTATGTCCGGATCATAAGTGTGATTCCAACTTATTAGCTGCGTTTATCACGTGGTCTCATTATTGGCCAATCGGACGCCGCCTATCATATGCGCCACATGAAGCAGATGGGTAGCTCGGAGGGCTCCGATAACTTTGCACGCAAATGACCCTGGGTGCTTGTGTCACTTGTCAGGTTAAAATCTAATTTCAACACGTTCGTATGGGTCTACATCGACGGCAAATTTCGTCGAAATGACACGTCCTGAACACGCGGGAAGGCAAATTTAGATTTCTATGTAAGTACTCAACATATGTACGAAATTATGTATGGTGGATCAATTTCGCCATGTTCGAAATGCCACAACAGCGTGGCGTATACAACGCCACGTTCACGGGTCTAGGCTTGAGCATGATCGAGTAAAAAAGGCTATGTACTGTACTGTCTGTAGAAAGTTCGATAAATCAAAGAGAAAGAATGCCTTCAGAGAAGCAGACAGGTGTAAGTCAATTATGGTGCATGTGGGTTTTTCTTGGTGCATGTAGGTTTTTTGGTCTACATGCACCAGTGCATGCCACTTTTTTTTGGTAAATCGAGCCCTGTTTCCATGTACATGTAAGAACAGCTAAATCTGTTGAGCAATATTTAATAATTGATGACTGCTGTGATGTGGGATGTATGCCGTTTCTAACATCCGAGGGGCGTACTCGGCGGGAGTTAAAAACAGCATATCCCACATCACAGCAGTCAAATCGTGCCAATACATTGTACATGTACTATGTAAGTCAAAATGAGAAATGGTTGGACAACATGTAACTTACTATGCAAGAAATACATGTACATGTAGATATTAACTCAGTGCAGTGTAACCCTTGATAACTGCAGGCTTTCCTGCCGGACATGAGACTGAGCAGTTGCGCATGGCATGCAGTTCTCAGTCGCGAGTGCGCGTGCAGGTTCTACACGCACGCGCACAAGCTCTGCACGTGCGCGCGTGCAAGTTCTACATGCGCGCCCGTAACGTGCATATGAGGTTAACTAGTATGCATCTTTACAGACTGGACACGTGGCCTTTCTCGACCAAGGAAATTAAAGCTATAGTCCATCATTTGTAATTAGTGCATTTTGTTCGTTTGAAGCAACAAAAGTGTTCAAAATCTAATGAAGGATACTGGACAACTTACTTGATGAAGTTTCAGCTCAGCTTCAGCTTCATATTCCGAGAAAAACAGCATTCTAGGATCTCAATTTCAAATCAAAAGTTGCTAAATCATGTTTCGAATTGTTTTGAATTGCAGCTTTACGCGATGTTGCGCACTGATCCAACGTATTATAGCAACCGCGCGCGCCTGTGCGTCGTTCCAATGCTTGTGCGCGCTGCGCCGAATAACAAAACGAACAACTAATTCAAATTTTCCTACGGTGCTTCTTAAGAAGCACCGTTGGAAATGCCTTCTTTCGTTGATTTCTTCAAAATGAGAGCTTGCCAGAAAGGATAATTTCATATTTTCACAGGGAGTTTAGTCCCCTTACTATCTTTCAACCAGTATGTTTTTCAACAATAATTACGCCGGTTACTTTTTTGGATAGCTGCAAATGATGGACTCGGGCTTTAATTACAGTATCCAAGCACACGATATAACAACAAATTATGGTACATGTACATCTCCTTATTCAGTGTTCCTGAGCTTTGGCTCAGTGTAAAATTCACCAAATTCTCAATATAGTAGTGTATAAAACAATGTCGTACATGTACACAGGTCTTCTGTTTTTCAAAGAGGAGGCACTGCGGAGTTTCAGAAAACATCACAAGACTCGGGCCTGCCCCTCAGCTGCTTCCGACACAGTCATTAGGGACACTTCCTGCACACGGCTCCCAAGGGTGCAATGTTGTTATGTTCAGGCTGGGGCTAGGGTCCCTAGTATTATCACGAGATTTGTGATAATGTCGGCCTGTTGACTAACCCGGCGTGGTGAGCGGGTGTGCAAAAATAGACTGCAGTTGGGATATAACATATTGCAGGGGCATGTCTGTAGAGCTCTGTGTGTGTATGTGTCACTCCGCAACAACATTAGGAAGGGACAGTTACATGTTCACGTAATCATGTGTACTACAAGGAAATACATGTACTTGCCCACAAGTCTCTGCGGAAGAAAAGAAGTTGAGGTTTTCCTGTAAGATGTGAACTGATATTTTTAGTGGCAGATTGTACATGAACAAGTTGAATATTATCAAAACACGGCTCAAGATTTCTGAGGAGGCTATTGATGTTGGCCGTTGTGCTTTCTTGGAATATCCCCTAAGTTTTAATTGTACATTGTACAGTGGCCGTCGTTAAGGCACTCGACCGTCTGGTTGCCTGACCTGACAATATTCGACAGCGGGATATTTTTGTCTCAGAACCAGACCATCAACTGAATGGTAAGAACAGAAGTCAAGTTTTTTTTCCCATTTATCAAAAATCATCCAAAGCCAGAGATCACTCAGAAAATAGAAAGAAATATACATCAACAAAAAGTAGAATTTGATTGATGACATAAAAGCAAAGGAAATTATTAAACAAAAATCGGAACCCCCCCCCCAAACTCTGAAACATTGGATGCGATCCCGGTACCTTTGGCATGGTAGTCCATCGTATGTGTGTACCCAATCAAACTACCAAAGCGCTCCACCAGAAATATACAATTAACTTATACCGGTACATTTAAGTACAATATTTAGATATTAAAGCAATTTTTTTTTTGGCAACACCATTAAATATAGCCGTTGAAAATTGTGCTAGGGCTACCGTAATAATAGCGGCTAATTTCCGAAAAAGTACCCATTTCCGAAGGGTGAACCTGTACACTAAAATTACTCAGACAAAATTAATTACAACAGCAAGTCAATTGTGAGCTTTCACATGCAAAATATCCCTAGGTACATGTATCATAATTATATGCCTGTAGTGTAGAAAATATGATTGAGATTGTCCACTTACCCTAAAATTAAATATGAAAAGTCTAGCCATGAGTACGGTAGAAGTGAATCAAAAGCTGCATTATGAACGTTTTACAATTATTAAGAGAATTAATTCCATGCCTGAACTGCATAAATGTTTTTCTTTTATATCAGACATCCAAAACTATGAAAGTGATACTGGTACTTAGCCTCATGTGCTATGCGCCCCTCAGGCGTTCAAAAGGGTATATCCCACAGCACAGCAGTCAACAACTGTTAGACGTAAAATAATCATATCTACATGTACGTATTGCATGATTGATAGTACGGTACATAGTATTTTTCTGTATACTTTATCACTAATACAATGGAACTTGTGCACATGTATGTATGTTCATGTACAAGTACAGTGAAGTGCATAGAGGTACATGTACATGTTCTTTGCATGACGCAAGGAAACAGCACAAATGATGCAGCATATTGCTTGGCGTGCCTGCCGTCATTATCGTGTGCAATCATCTAGAAATTGATGTTCATTTGCTACTCTGTCCAGCCTGTGAGATGATGCCACTCTGCGTGCGTGTGCCGCGTATTCTTTTGGAAAGCTGAATAAGTTTATTCAACACCCACAGGATTTACTT